GGGGGGGGGTGAGAGAATAATTCACATACAAACACACAAGAACTTTTAATAAGAGCATTAACCATTTGATTCTTCATTTAAAATGAACAGACGAAACGAAAGACAGAGAAAGAAAGAGAGTTTGTGTGCTTATGTATACGTACGTGTTTGCGTGTATTAAGTCATAAATTTAACATGACCTCATTGTCAGCACAAATTCATATACATTCATACATATATACTTGTATATATACATATATGAAAAGATGAAAGATGTTAAAGGGAGAAAAAGTAAAGGCTGAATAGACTTACTTCTCATAATACGGTTGCGATATTCATCATCACGGCGCAAAGCAATGCTGCCGAGACTAGTTGAAACAATCATTTTCTCCATTGGTGAAAAATCCTTGAAAATTGAAATAAGAAATACAACAACAATACAGTACAGAACTTGCATATATTCCTTTTGTGCGGATTTTCTTATGCAGTTATAACTTCTTTAAAATATATATATATATATGTATATACAGTTAATTATACATAATTAAGATATGTATGTATCATTGTCTCAGTAGAACTTCATACGAACCTCAAATGTTTTGTCACTGTCAATATTTGGTAATTTATCAATAAATTCTTCCAACATGCTGTTGCGTTAATAGGTGAAATAATTTATAGCATTTTGTTTGTATGTTATCTAATCCGGTAAAACACCTGTTGAATATAAATTAGAAGCGAAATAAGAGGGAAAAGAAAAGAAAACGGAAAAAAAAAACAGCAAAGGAAGGAAAAAAGAATGATGTTAACAAACCATAGCATCGTCATCAACATCATCAGCGTCACCACAATCGTATAAATAAATGTACACAAAGAAGCAACAATTATTAGCTTCTTTTATATATATATATATATATATATAAAACTTTCACTCAGGTGTGAGTGAGTGCTTGCGCTTACATATTCACAACCATTCATTCGCATATATAATCATCAGTACACTAATATTAGCAGACATACTCAGGGGGGTCATTATGAAATTTACAATATAAACAAATCATCACAACTTGTACAGATGCTTAGACATAAAAATTGTAACACTTACACGAACATATAACACTCAAAAAAAAAAAAAAAAGTGAAAAAAAAAACACATAAACTCTTTAGTTAACGTACGTCAACACCTTGCACACAATAAGCAAGCATGACGACAACGACGATGACGACGACATTGTTTATTCGTACAACATATCACAAAATTTAAACAACTTTTACTTAATCAAAGATACAAAAAAAAAACCGGAATCCGGCACACTGACATAACGTGAGACAATAAGATAAACTGAGAGTGAAAGATAGATTGGTAGAGTGTGTGTGAAAGCGATAGCGTGAGGTAGTGACAGAGAAAGAGAAAGATAAAAAGAGAGAGAGAAAGAGAGATAGAGATAGAGAGAGAGAGAGAGATACAATGGAAGAGGAAGAAAAAGGAAAGAACCGAAAAATACAATCGAAAACGAATTCACATATAAAACTTTTAATTTTTTTTCTTATTTTCTTGTCAATTTTTATGCTTTAACGAAAAGTGGCCTCCACCAGAGCACACAACAAACTGAACCATTTTATTCAAACTAAAGATATTTGCCTGGTTAAGCACAACCAATACACAAAGACAACGAACACTATATAGTAAGTATCTATGTGCATTTATGAGTACGCATATAGATATATATGAATATATATATATATATATATATACTGCAGTGTGTGTGCATGTATAAGCAAGCTTACATGTTTATATGTATATGCAGTTAATGCAATATATATATATAATGTCCATTCGTTTCCGTATGGTTGTCGTCGTGCTCGTGTTTGCTTTTGTTTTTATTGTTAGTGTATTGCTTATAACACAATTTTACCGTTATTTGTGCAATACTCTCCGAAATTTGTCTATTATTGTTGTTGTTGTTGTTATTGTTATTTCAAGTACACTATGAGCCTGTTTATGTGTTGAATTTGCCAACGTCCCAGTGAGAGTAAAGAAGCAAACAAGATGAAAAACATCATCATATAACACACATACAAACACACACAACGCAATGCAACTTTAAACCCCCATAAACAGCATAACAGCGGAATGGGGAAAAAGCACGTGCTGAGAAATTTTGTCATGTCACATGTTTAACGAAGCATCTTCGTTAGATTGATTTTGTTTTGTTTCATCTTTATATTTATGTGCATAGGCATGTGTGCCGATTTATTTATTTGTTTTTTTTTTTTTTTTTTCATTTTTTGTGTTGTTTCCTTACTCTATACCCAGAACCAATAAGAGGAAAACACTACATACGTTTTATATACATTCACATTAAAACGTCACCTCATGACCTCACGAAGCTTATGGTTTCATTTTTTTTTTTTTTTTCATCTTTTTTTTTTTTAGCGGCATCACTGCGACTATGTTTGCTTTCGCATTACAAGACAAATTAAATATGTTGGGAATGTGTAATCAGTCAGTAAATATCAAGAAAGTTGTAACAAATTACAAAAAAAGAAAACAATGGAAAAAACTAAATAGAAATGCTATACAAACGCATATGAGCATAAAATAAATTATTTAGTGCCTAGTTTCCGGGACAAACGAAATATACGGTAATACACTGCGTATGAATAATATCGCAGAGTAAAATGAAAATACTTGGATCTCTCCCTAACAATAAAATTACCTATCAATGAATGGATTGAATCGCTTACATAAATATAAAATGATGCAAAATATAAGAATTCGTCCTTCCGTTTATCAAATGTAAATACAGAAGAATCAGTTAGCAGTCTATTATTATAAATGGATGTAAAAATGTCCGTCTATCTGTTTTCTTTTTTTCCAATCCAAAATTTCAAAAATGAAATCTAATAGATGTCATAGACATTGTGCAAGATCCACATCATGCGAACCTGAGCTTGGATAAATATTGACCGGCAAGTTACACAACCATAGAAGTATTAACGCTTAGGCAATCAAGAAGAAATTTTAGAATTTTTCTATGCATATTCATCAGCCTATTTTGTTTTTATTATTTAACAATCTTCTTCTTGTTCTTGTCAAAATTTCAATTAAACATAATTGTGATAAGAATGTTTTTTTTTTTTTTTCAATTTTTAAAATTAATTTCTAAAATTTTTTGCTTATGTCAATTAAGTTGATCTTTTCGTTGATTTGCCGCATGAGACGTGGCTTCATTTTGCACAATTTTCAAAATAATACGATAAGCTCTTGATTCTTGCAGTTCTTTATTCTGGCATAAATCTATTTGCAAAAAGAATCTACTATGTATATAAATTCGGATTGTTTTCAGACGTTCTCAGCTCTCTGGACAGGGAAAACCTACACGAATCAACATATATATATCCCAGTGAGATTACTGGATTGAACTTCAAGATATCTTAAAGTTGTATCAAAGTTTACACGCTTATTAAATCTCTTTTAATTTATAATTGTAAATTTTCATATGAACGCATATATAATACATATGATGTAAATTACATATATAAATTATATATAAGTACGGGCATGTTTTCAGTGACCTAATATTTGTATATATGGAATACATGACGTCAAGATATGTTTGTTGCTTGCTTATATTGCATGTTTTAGACGGTAGCATTTTGTATGCAATTTACGTTTACTTCGTTTTTTTTTATATTTTATATTTATTTCATTTTCTTTGTTTATTGGATCCTTAGCAATGACGTGGAGTTTTAAATTGTTTTTCACTTGGATTCGTTTTGAATGCCAAACACATGTAAAAAATGTTAAATGAAATTGCAGTTAGTATACGAATGTGCATTCGCTAAGTTAGCTCTGCAACATACATTTCAACTGATGACGATATGCACCGTTAATTTAATTTTATGTTTTGCTGTTTTATTAAATTTACGCACATATGAATGATTTTCAGTCGGTTATACAATATTTGGCAAGAGCATGTTTCATCTGCTTTTGACTTGTAACTTTTTGAAACATAACAACTTGAAACAACAAATTACAATTTTCTTAGAAATATAAAAATAAAAATTAAAACATTTTTTTTTTTTTTCCTTATTTAGCTTTCGCATTATATATGGTATAAATGATTCGAAAGATTGTTGGATTTTTCTTTTTTTTTTTTTTTTATTTCATTTTCTTTATGTTAATACATAAAAGCATTAAAGACGAGCATCGCCTGTAATCAATATATTTAAGAGGAAAAATGTAAAAATGTATGTCAGTCTTAAGGCGAAGACTAATTTATAGAAGAAAATTGGAAGGACATATCCTTCGCCTGCTAGTTGCGAACGTGTCAATGAATTGATTATTGTATTCGCCATGAACTGTTTAATCGCTCCGTGCACATATGTCTGTCTATACAAATATAGACATATAAAGGTATGTATACTACATATATAATTGACATTTTTTTTTTTTTTTTTTTTGAATATTATGATCTTATTCACATATTAGGTAATATATTTGCTCAGTCTCTCATATCGGCGTATAAAAATATAGATAGACTTAACAGGCTTCATAAGCTCATATGTATGAAATCTCAGGCTGTATGAAATTTCTAACAGGAACTCTTCAATGTTAATAGAGATCCTTTTTAATGAATGTATCACTGAGTAAAGTTAATAAAATAATTGAAAAAAAAAATGCAGTCTCTGTGTGTAATTAACATATTATATAAAGTGCATTACAAAACACTTTTCAAGAGAAAGAACATTCGTTGTTATACTCACGAACTCCGCTCGCTCTGTTCCCAAACAAATTCAACTTTCTGCGTTTGTCTGTTTATCTTATGTCCTAGTACAACTTTTAGTTGGTACACAAGTGCGCAAGGTCGAACACTATTCAAAATGAATTAGATCGTATGATCTTGACGATATCTTTCGCTTTATTACGCCTTATTTCAAAATGTGAAACATCAGTTAATATTATGTTATGAAATTCGTTTTTTACAAGATACAGTCCGTATCACTAGATCGTGGATATATTGATCAAGAGAAATGCATTTCAAAGTTCTTTTATTTTACTACTTTGTCTTTCAGAACAGTAGGAATATTTATTTACAATTTATTTTGGCCGTACTCTCAACTTCTACGTTCTTGCCAGACTAATTCTACTTTTCACAAATATTCGATTTATATACAATTTTACAAGAATGTTACTATACCTAAATTTGCGGTTATGGTCTAATTCCAGCCTGGTTTTTCCTCTAATCGTTTCCATCGGCCTGCACCTGCATGACGAGCCTGCGAATGCTCATTTGGTTTTCCCTTCTTTAGGGAATTTATTCTTACGAAAATTACTTAGCTGAATGAATTTAAATGAATTTGGGATTTTCGTAACAATATGAATTTGATAATGGAATTTGCAATTTCCAAAATGTCGCGACAAAAATTGCTGAGTCACAGTATTTTAACGCGAAAAATATGGCGAATCACCTCCCATAGGAAAAGAATCCCTTTTGTAACGAAACAATTTAATTTTCAATGCGTTATGCGATGAAAAATTACTTCACAGTAGAAATCTGGCAAAAAAAAAAAGAAGAAAATTTTGCTTAAATTTAGATTAAATAAAGTCACGTTTTATACTCTCTCTCCCCATTTTTTGGCGGCAAAATGCCATCAAGTGTTTAACGTTTTTGACCGTCCCCGACAATAACATATTTGCTTC